TTGGATTCATGTTTAGAAAACATATCAATTGACGTGTACTTGTACTGTGTACTAAGTTATTTTTTTTACTGAGATGTAAATAGTTTAAACTGCTAAATGAACTTCGATGTAACTTAGAAGTATTGGGTGGAAATGGGAGAGGTGTATTTTGTGCAAACAGTTCCAAATTACTTCACGCTGTTCTGTTCAACTGCTTTTTCTGGTGTTGGTAATAGAATTCATAAACTGTGATAAATGTAACCTTGGATTAAAATTCGTGAAAGAATAAATAAGTATATAACTGTATTTGTAACAATTATATAAAATATAGTGTGGCCTAAGGATTTCTCCCCAGCAGTAATTACCCATTCAGGCGGTAACGACCCTAGGCGACGTTCATCAGCCTGAAAGAAAGAGCGGGACACGGACAATCAGGCTAAACAATGAGAGGAGCCAGCCTGAGATACCCATCGACTCCACACCGCACCTGGACTTCACCCTGAGAGAGTCCAACCGAGGATACAATCAGGAAGCACTCAGAACCTTTCACATGCGAAATGACTCTGCCCAGCCGTCTATTGATTCAGTTCCACGGTTCCAGGAAATTCATTCAACCAGCCATCTAAACTCTTTGTTGAACAGGAACTGCTCGGAGTTTTAGCCTCAGGACACAAAATCCCTATAAAAACCCCGGACAGTCTACCCTCCTTCATGGATTTGGGTAAATCTGTACCTCTGGGTATAGACCCCTGTCCACCCAGCGCTGCGCTGATTTATTTTATTGTGGTTTTTTCTCTCGTTGTTTGTGATTGAAATTGTTTTATAATAAATCGCTTTTTATATTAACCCTATTTTGCCATTGGATTTATAACATAAACCACATGATGAAGTTAGACCCATCCGGAGGTACACTAGTACTGCAAATTTTCTTCTTACAAAACTATTCAGGTTTAGTCCTGTTCCAGTACTTGTCATTAAACACTGAATGGGGACTTGCAGCTAAGTATATTTATATTTATATTTATATTTATATTTATATTTATATTTATATTTATATTTATATTTATATTTATATTTATATTTATATTTATATTTGTAATATTTTTAATAAATATATTTACTGCAGTGGGTACACAAGGTTTGGGCATATTATTTAGTATTCTGTTTTATAGTGTATACATAGTATATATAGTAAAAGTTATATTAGTAAATAAATACCATGTCCTTCAGGTTATCTGAAGTACGGGTCCTACACAGTTTCATTTCTGGGGAAATTTTTGATTGTGAGAAAGTTTTGGCCAGGATGCCTGTATTATCCCTGGTCAATGCCCACATGTGCTTTCTACATAGAGGATGGACAGAGAAACCAAGGACATTTTTTTAAATTTGTCTTGATGCGAGCTTACCTTCACAAACATTCTGAGCTTGCCAATGCCCACATGTGGACAGTACTTAGCTTTACCAATGCAGTCCAGAGTGGATCTGTTATTTCTGACACCATAATATACTGAATAATTCTGTTTTCAAAGCAGGGTTAAAGCAGCTTTAGATTAGGAAATTACTGGGTTAGAAATTGAGTAGGATGGTTAAACCAAGTGTTGAGGGTTAGGTGTCCTTTTTTTTTTTTGGTTTTGTCGTTCTGGCCTGCCCGTGGAATTTTTACCATTAGCTGCGGAGACAACCTGACTGTGGGTATTTAGTGGGTGATTGATAAAGGACTAAGAGTGGCCGGGCCCAGGGCGGGGAAGGGGGCAGGAAAGGAGGGTGGGGACAGTTTTTGGCTGGCTTCTTCGGCTTCCGGAAAAGACATTTTCGTTTTGCTGGGTCGCGGAGCTGCTGCGGTGGGGAGAAGGGAATTTTCGCCATCACCCAGACAGAGCTGCCGCTTCTTCTCCTTCTCCCCTCTTTGTTGGTGGCCTCGCACCCCCTGCCCTGCCGGGACGTGTGGCAGTGCCAGGCAGCGCCGCGGAGCTGCTGATACACCTCAGCCACCGACCCAGGATCTCAGCTCATCCCTGCTGATCCACCTCATCCACCGGCCCAGGATCTCAGCTCATTCCTGCTGATCCACCTCAGCCACCAGCCCAGGATCTCAGCTCATCCCTGCTGATCCACCTCATCCACCGGCCCAGGATCTCAGCTCATTCCTGCTGTTTCCAGCCGACCGTTCCTCAGAGCCCCGCAGGAGCACCGGGACTGCCCGCCCGAGGGGTTTGTGAAAACAAAACCTCTCCTCCACCCCATCTCAGCCGAGAAAGCTGTCACAGGGTCCCTGTTTCTGTTTTCTTGTTAATGTTGTAGTTATTGTTGTTTGTTTGCCTGGTTATACTAGTAAAGAACTGTTATTCCTATCCCCAGATCTCTGCCTGAAAGCCCCTTGATTTCAAAATTATAATAATTCGGAGGGAGGGGGGTCTACATTCTTTCATCCCAAGGGAAGCCCCTGCTCTCCCTAGCAGACACCTGTCTTCTAGAACCAAGACACCAAGTTTGAGAGCAGCTCAGGCTCTCAGTTCAGACTTCAGTACAGACCAGAATACTTTTACTTCATGGAATAAAATATGGTGCAGAGAGTTACCTACTTAGATATCTATGCTGCTAAGTGGCCCTGTTACTGCAATATAGTATTTCAGTGTTTCAAAAACTGCATTCTTTGAGGAAGATTATATGCTTTCAAGCTATTAAAAAAACCCAGTATAATATAGTGCCTGTAAATGCATCAACTAAGATTCAATAAGCAGTAATATTGCATTAAGTGTATAACCCTATTAATATTTATGCAAACAGTGTTTATTAGGTGCAATTATTAGGTCTGTTATTCCTATTAACTGAGGGCCACATGACATGTTTTTAACCATTAGATGTCTGCGTAGGTTGTGAGGACTCTGCATAATCTAAAGTAATTGCATGTTCCCTATACGTGATTTGGCATAAGAATGAAGTGATCTGAGCAGTCTGAAGAAGGGGGATAGGAAGAAAGAAGCTCATTATATGGTTATAATTCTATGTTTTCTGGGTTGGACCATGAAACAGTAATTGTGTTCTACTGTAAAGACTGGACTGTTTGTCACGTTGAATATAATTCTCCTCTAAGAAGCTTACAGACTGCTTCCATAGGTTTTAGGTACTGCTTTAGTACTGTAGTCTGGAGAAAAAGCAGTCTGATTTAGTCCTTTCTTTTTTTGAAGAGGACTTAGACTGAAAAAATCACAAAATATGTATTTTAACCTTTCAACTGTTTAAAAAAGCAATAAAAACCTACTTAATACTCAACACAATTGATACATTCTAAAATGTGGTTCTCCCAGATAAAAGCCTTGTAAATTACTGCAAAAAAATACCGGTTTCTAAACTGGCCATTCTGAATGGTGTTAAAGGAGTCTGAAGTACTTTCAGGTTATTGTTGAAGCCAGAACCCAAATTTTAAATTAAGACCACGTGGTTTAAATATACCCTACATTAAAAAAAATATAAAAATCAAGTCATATACACTCTGTTTACAAAACTAAAATGAATTTTTATGAGGTGGCTGCTGTCCAAAAACAATTTTGCAAAAATTTAAATCCTAACTGAACACTTCATTTGCTCACAGTACTTAAACTTCTGGGGCGTGGTTCAGTCAACAAACTAATTGTCACTTTCATGGACAGTTATATTTGTTACAGACAACAATTTGGATTTGAAGGGACAAGAGGTCTGGAAGGGTCTCACCCTCCAAATAGTAGGTCATCTCTGATTTTTGTTATAATATATTTCAACCTTTACATGCTGTGTTAGTGGAATTACAAAGCATGGAGCTGAAAGTGGACATTCAAAGTCACTAGCTCTCATTGCTTATTGCTAGCCTAACAGGTTAGCTTCAACAAGCCAAGTCACTAAATGATCTGGTTTTTGTTTCAATTGGTTAGTTGGTTTGGTTGGGGACTTTTTATTTATTTTTTTTTTTTCCTTTGAAAATTCAGAGATTAGAATTTATTGAAATTTTACTGGTACAGAAGAGAGAAGGTGCAAAGATCTGTGTACAGAAAGATAAATAATGAGTGAATAAATAAAGTGAAGGTCATCTCTGTTTCTAAAACTTATGGAAAGAAAAGCTACATACCTAAAGATGTTGGTTGCTATGTACACCTCCAGTTGCAACATCTGTGGCTTATAGCTATGGTAACAGCACTGTTCATACAGCCAGAAATGTGTAATCTTTTAAATACTGCTCATCTAAATATTTCAGAGAGCTGTCAGATACTTGGATTCAAAATGTCTGAACAAATTCTTTCTGCTTCACATACCATAAAAATGTAATGACAAAAAAACACACAACCCAGAGAAATCAGAATATATTCTCCAGTTTTTTGTATGCTAAAGTTTATTATTACAACTCTTTTTTAAAACTTCTTTACATTTCTTTGTCTTTTTGTTTTCTTTATGTAAGAAAAAGGGAAAGTAATTTTATCAGTTAAATACTGCAAAAAAAGTTTACTTCTTTCACCTTGGTAAAAATTGAAATAAAGATTTTCCTTTTTTTAACAGGACACTGAAACACATTAAATGTGTTAAATGAAATTAAATTAAATTAAATTAAACATTAAATTAAATGAAATCCATTTAATCTTTCAGTAGAAGGAATTTGTAGACATCACTCTGTTTTCTTATGCTAAAGTATTAGATAGAGCCATGAAATGTGAGGATATTCTACATGTTTTTTGACAGGAATGTTTGTGTTTGCAGGGTTTGTTCACTGAAATTTTAGAAGTTGTTAAATACTGTGCTGAGTGGAGCAAAAGCACTAAATACACAGATGAGTAAACACCTTATCCAAAAGAATAGTCAAGACTGATTCATCAGATGTTCCTATGAAATTCACTGACAATTGCATTTTATTCCTGTGCTTGACTATTTGCCAGATGAAATGGAAATAAAATATATAAAATGAAAAGATGCTGATCTTTTGGATCACTGTGGATGCTTCCATGTATTTCTCTATTCAATGTGGATGTGGCTGATTTCTTTTTCGTTTTTTCTAGGCCTTTTCTGGAAACACAAATGCAGACAGTGTCGTGTACTATAAGCTTCAGCATTCTATTAAAGCAAGATTTCTCCGTTTCGTACCTTTGGACTGGAATCCAAATGGCAGAATTGGAATGCGCATTGAAGTGTATGGATGCACATATAGTAAGTTTATTTCTGACTCAGCTAAATGAAATGAATCTTCATCAATGTCTTTTCCTACCTAAATAGCATTTGAAAGTAGATTTCTAAGATTAAATTTAATCTCAAATAAAACTGATTTAATAAGTTTATGTTCATACTTCACTATTTCTACATCAACCATCAATATGTGCTGCTTATTTTCCAGTCCTTTCTGTATTGGAATGAATGGTGTGGACATAATCCAATAACTGATTTAATGCAAACTCTTTTTTTTTTTTTTTCCATAGTCCTAAAAATTGCATCTTAACATGGTATACTTTCTATCTATCTGAAGGCCAAAATATGGGAAATGTTTACAGTTTTAAATCTATGTGGTCTTGATCCTGAGCCAGTAAGAGTACAACTAGATGCATCTGCAAATAAAAAATTGAAGGACACTTTGAAGTTTTTATGTATTTAAGGGATACTTTTAGAATAGCTTTTGTGCCCTTAATAACTGACATAAGCCTTTGGAAGGAGATTGTGTAAGTGTTGTGGTTTTATTGATCTGCTGGACAGTGTGAATATTCCTGACATCTTCCTGTTACAGTTTCTCATCCCTGGATATTTTTTTTAAAAAATTCCTCTCAGTAAGATTTTTACTGCTTTTTAGTATTCACATCTTAAACAGAATTTATTTTAAGCAACTTCTTTAATTGTTTTTTGTGCATACTTTGATCTGTTCTTTGTTGTTTTGGGGTTTTTTTTCGACTTCCATACTTTGTATGGTTGATCTCTTTTGGTTGGTCTCCATATATCTGTTTTCTATTGCCATGCATTTGTATCTGACTTAAAGTGTATATCAGGGAAACATATCTCTGGGCTTTCTGTCTTAAACTTGACTTTGTAAAATTGGTAAAAGGTAATGAACTAAGGATATTGAAAATTTAAACCTGGATGCAGGAGGTTAAGGCACCTGAGAAATCAGATAAACTTCCCCATTCCAGAAAACAGACGTCTCATGCCAGGAGAAGGGCCTGAAAGGCTCACACAAAATTCCTGTGACAGCTGCCTTGAGACTGGGAACATGACTTATGACTCCTAGAGCAATCTGAGAAAATGACCTTGAAAACTTGACTAAATGAGAAATATTACCATGATTCAACTTACCCTCAACTCTTTTAAGTACCAGAACAACCAAAATTTAAAGATGGAGACTGAACAGATGAATTTATCATTCCCAGCTAAAATCTCATCTGAGTCTTCCATTTGAGGCCTGATTTCTGTGGAACATGATGGGAGAATTGTCTTTTTTCTCTTTAAGCTTAATTTTAAAATTCATTGATAGTCACCAACTTTGCTTCTTCACCGTTCTTTGCCTTGAGCATGATAATATTTAAATCCTTGCTCAGTTTTGCTCTTAAAAATCCAGATTTTAATTATTTACATTCACTATCATAATTTTCTCTGTCACAACTTGCAAGGTTCATATTATGTCTGTCTTCTGTGTCATGCCTATTGCCCAGCAGTGGAAAACTCTATGAGTCTAAAGGATAAATAAAGAAAATATCCATGCAAATGAAAAAAGAAAACATTTAGAATAAGCAGTTATGAAATTAAAATATTTTTGGGTAGCCATTAACTGTTTTTGATGAAGATTATATTTTTTTTGCATTTTACATACCGGGCACAAAATTTATCCTATAGCTTATGGAAGTAAATCATCTATAGTTATCCTCTAAGATGAGGAAATTAAAAAGATTATCTACTTCATCCAATATTTACTATAATGCAGTATGTGAAAAACAAGACGTTGTCAAAAAAAAAGTTGTTTTTTTTTTTTAAGCTGGTTAAGATTTTTTGTGAATTAGTGATATTGGGTGTTGTAGAAATGCTTATTTTCCCTATCCTATAAATACTATCATTCCAAAAGATTTGCAGGCCTCTTATCATCTCTGTATTTATTTTGAACATCTACTGGTTACCAAGTGCTTCTACTAGCTAAATTCAGTGATTGCCATTGAAGACAAACCAGGCGATTATAGATTTATAGTTTTTAAAAATATTTAAAAATACAAAAGTTTAATTCTTTCTCTCAAATCTTTTTATCCATTTATCGGACACAAAGAGGACGTGTAGTTATTATTACAATATTTATGCCTGGCTCTTTTTGAATGACTGTGTACTTCTTAAAGGAGGACCAGAAAAAAAGGAAAGCAGAAATGCCAATAATATCTACTTTAGCTTTGAGTCACATGTTTTACATGTCCCATTTTCTCATCCTTTCCTTCAGGGAGCTCTCACTGGGTATTAGATTTTAAGAGTAAACTCTCTTTTCATTTACCATCAAGTATGTGAACTGTGTTCTGTATTCAAGTGCACTAATTTTATTCTTCAGTCTTTACACAACTAGAACTAAACTTCCAAGAATACAGAATACAGGAAGTAGATCTTTCTGCTCCATAAAGTGATGTGAAGAAATGCATGTCTCTGTGTCCTAAAGAAGTCATTACTATCTCAGTGAAGTCATACTTACAGGGCAAATTTTGACAGTATTTCAAAATCTGCTTCCAGTCAAATGCCTACTCTGAATAACTTTGCCTAGTATTCTCAAAAATATTGTTTCCCCTTTAATTACAGCCTCAGTGAGGCTTGGTAATACTCATGATATTTTCCTGTAGGATGTAGCAGATTATTGTGGGTTTTGTTTTCCTTTTTTATTTTTTATTTTTTTAAAATTTTTTTTACATGCAACTCCTTTTCTTCTATATACTGTTTAAATCAAGGACTGTCACATTTAGATGTCTGTAAAGTATGCATCCAGGCAAGTCCTTCCATTTTTGCCTCAGCATTTATGGAGTAGAAAGGCCAAATAAGGGTAGTCAGTTATGGACTATAGTCAGTTATGGGAAATGTTAGAAGAGTTCCCCTGCAGTTTTTTTTTTTTCCATTGAGTTCTCCCTCCTCACTCTACTGTCTCTGCAATGTTCCTTGTTATCTTCACTCATGTTCTATATTCATTTAAAAAAATGGAAGGGAGGAAAGGAAGTGGGGAGGGAAGGAGGAGGGAGGGAGGCAGGGGACGGGGGGGAGGCAGGCAGGAAGGAAGGAAGGAAGAAAGGCAGGCAGGCAGGAAGGCAGGCAGGAAAGAAGGCAGGCAGGAAGGAAGGCAGGAAGGAAGGAAGGCAGGCAGGAAGGAAGGCAGGGAGGCAGGCAGGGAGGAAGGGAGGGTCGGTTTTCTACCTCAAGGTGTTTCACCTGCCTTTATGTGAACTGATAAAACATCTGCTTGTGCCTTGACTACACTGCAAATACTCTGTGCTGAGCCTCAGCCCAAAATCTGTCGGAAGCCTCTGCCTGATAGTTCTTTCTTTTTAGCGTGTACAAAAGAGAAGAAGGAATCACTACTGACATTTCCTGCATCTTGTTCCTGAAATGCCACATTTTGACAATTAAGCCATGTAAAACAGTTCAGGTTAAGCTTTGTCATGACACTAAAAAAAAAAAGAGATCTTAGAAATGTGTTGAGCTTAAAATTTCCACTCTTTACAATACTCTCTTATTTCATCTTCTGAAAACCAGTAGTCTGAAAAATACAAAACAAAGAAACAAAAATGTAGGGATTTTTTTGACATGGTGGGCAGAAAGAAAGGTTTAAATATGAAAATTAAAAATATATTAAATTGTAGAACTGGAAAATAAATATATAATGTATGTTACAAATTGTTAGATATGTATGTTATGATACCTAACAGTAAGCACTGCAGATACTGCACAAACCCTTTTGCACTGTTCTCTATCACTTCTAACTGTATTGAGGCTATTACAGCATTTCCTTCCTGGCTGAAATGTTTAAAGTCAACATCACAGTTACATCAGTCCAAAAAAGACTTCATATCCTCTTCATAACTGGAATAATGGCCTGTTGGTTTGCATTGGTTTAAGTTTTTTTTTGCTTTTATATTTTTTCCTTATAGAACATGAGCATTGATTTCAATTGATATAAAGATTTAAAAAAAAAAAAAAAAAAAAAATCAAAGATATTTCAGCTAAAACTTTTGCTCAGGATCACTAGGATTCTTGGTCCTGTGGTATGTGAGACTTCCAGAATTTCCAGTTTCTCAGGGGCATTTAGTGATTTTCAAAGATATTTTCACCAAGTGTACTAAGTGAACTAAGGATTTACATCACATTAATTTAAGGAAGACATGTTGCAGATTGTGGAAACAAAAGATGAGTGCTCATAAAACAAGTCCACCTGTTTGTTTCTTTTTCCTTTTTACAACAGTAGAGAAAATCCATGTAGAGGGATTTTGAAGTCCAGCAGCTACTAGAAGTGGCAAGTAGTTGGTAAATACGTGAGGAAAGTCTTATGCTACCCTGGATATGTGCCCAGAGCCTATTTATCCTTACAAGCCTGCAGGACACCCAAGCTGTCTTTCTTGCAACCCTTTAAATATATTTCTAGGGCTAATGCATGGATGCTGAAGACAAGACCTGTGTGAGAAATGTTATAAAAAATTTGATTGCCATCTGCAACCCTTTCACAATCTTCATTAATTCATGGGGTGAGGGCAGGGACAAAATTTAATTTTGTTTATTTTTAAAATTTAGACATAGCAGATTTTGCTTCTTAGGAACTAGTGCTGTAGAATAGTGTAAGAGATTTTGGAGAGCCATGTTAATGTTTTTTATGTTCTTGTCCCAGTAACTAATAAGAGGAGTGTGTTCCCAATCCTACTGTTATTGCCTACTAAGAATATATCTAGTTAGCTGGTTTGGTAGATGTATATAAATGTACAAGTGGTCTTATTGAAGTCTTTATTGAAGCTATTCTACATCACATTCATTATTTTAATTCAATATTAATTCACAGTTTTGCTGTCCACATTCATTCAATGACAAAATGAAGTAAAATAGTTAATCTATGATTCTACTTAGGTAGAATGTCATATTTATTCATTGTACTTTTGATAAATGAATTCTTCATTATCAAGATATAAAGAAAATCAAGAAATTACATTTAAAAATACAATGGCATTGACTTCACAAGAGCTTTTTGAAAATGGAATATAAATTACTAACCTAAAGTATAAGAGTGAATTTGAATTAATTTCATTTCATGCTGACCATATGGAGAAATATTTTAGTGAAATTACATAAAGTTAGTAAATAGATAATGGGTTTCCCTTGACTTGCAAGAAGTTAACCAGTCATCTGAAAAACAACATATTTTATTGAGTGTCCTTTACATCTTCATTCACTTCAAAAATGTATTTTTCAAGGTTAACTTTTTTCTTCATTACATATGAACTGTGAATACTCTAGGAGCTATCTATAGTGTTATCAGTTCCTTTGTGTGTGTGTGTGTGTGTCTTGTTCAATCTCTACTGATTTTGATGGATATTCTTTTTTATTATTGGTAAAAAATCATTTAGCCCTATTCCCTTCCCTTCCTGAAGGTCAACAGCAGCCTTGTTTTTGTTTTTTTTTTAATCTTGATTTTGTTCATTGGAATGAATTGTGAATAAATTAATAGAGATTTTTTAGCCTAAGAATACAAGTAAAAACAGAAATGGTGAAAGTACTTTATAGTTCCAAGGAAAGGAAGACCTACCTTTTACCTTTGAATAGAAGCCAGATCTATTCTCACATGGTTTTATTATCTAGTTATACCATCATCGTTAAAGCACAGAAGTCTTAATGTACAATTTACAGTCCACAAGTGGATCTAGAGATGTTAGTGATGGAACTTCATACCATATTGAAGTAACATGCAACTGTTTCTTTTAGACATAGCATTATACATTATCTTTCATTTCTTTACTTCTAGGGTCTGAGGTGGTTGGCTTTGATGGGAAAAGTTGTCTAATTTACACATTTAATAAAAAACTCATTAATGCACTGAAAGATGTGATTTCTCTGAAGTTTAAGACAATGCAAAGTGATGGAATTCTCCTCCACAGAGAAGGACAAAATGGAGACCACATCACCATGGAATTAACTAAAGGGAAGCTGTCCCTACTCATTAATTTAGGTAACAGCTATAGTCTCATAAAGTCTAATATATTTATTTGGCATTATTTGACTAAAACTTCTCTTTAAACTGTTAAGTAGATTTTAATGTATAAAATATGATAAGCTAGCAGTATATTTTTGAATAATTATATTTTTGAATGAAATTAATAGTTTTTTTATTTTTCTTCTTTCAAGGTGATACTAAAACTCATCCTTCTAATGCCCAAGTTAATATTACGCTGGGCAGCCTTTTGGATGATCAACACTGGCATTCTGTTCTCATTGAGCATTTTAACAATCAAGTAAACTTTACAGTGGATAAACACACTCATCATTTTCATGCAAAAGGAGAATTCAGTTATTTGGACCTTGATTATGAGGTGTGAAAATTACCTTTCCTTTATTACATTTATTACCTTTGTTATGCAAATGCACTGAAACAGGCAAAGGAAAAATAACTTAAGGAAGTTTGTAGTCCTTAAGACATTGGGGATTTTCTGTCTGTTAAGGGAATTAATCAAAGAAAAAGAGTTGTTCTTGGAGTACAAATCTTCCACTAGACTATCAGCTCAGTATTTTCAAAGACCATCTTTTTCATCTCAGAATTCATTATTTTTATACCTTTGTTTCAGTAGAGCTGCAAATGTGATAAAAAGTATTGTAAACATAATGAATGAGACCCAACTCAATGCTATTATTTAATGAATATTAATGTTATGAATATAAAACTTGATGAAAATTGCAATATATCATCATAAAACCATTTTAGAAATGTTTTATAGCAAGCCTTAAATCCCTACTAGATCTGAAAATTGTACTGTGAAAAAATCTTGAGTGTACAAATAGTAGATTAATGAAAAATAGTAGGTGTAATATGCTGCGAAATTTTCCTGCCCATGGTTAAAAATACCACTATTTCACAGTTGTAATGTGATGACTGGCTGCTTTATGTTTGCCCTATACTGTTTGTTGGATAAGACAATGAGTGATAGAGCAGAATGTCTGGAACCCTCAGACTTTATTGTACTCATTCCAATTTATAAGCAATTTATAGTGAGATGTCATGCTGTTCTGTGTCTGCATTACTCCAATTCAAAAATATCTGCTCAGAATTTCTGAATGTAAATGATAATATCAAAGTTCAGAGGACAGTACTAATTAAAAAAAAAAGTGAGAATGAAAATAACTGGCTGACAAATAGGTATCTTTTACTATATCAGTCAATATTGCAAATTAAATTTTCATCTCATCCAGATACTGTACCTTGAAGTACATGTTGCTAATACAAGTAAAAAGAAAGCATAAAAACATTAAAAAAGAACTACTGTGTTTATAATTGCACTTCTGACTAAATTTTTCTTAATTTAATAAAAATGAAATATGATAAATTTTATTTTGGTTGATTTTTTGGGGTAAAATTATTTTAAACATTGAGCAAAATTTAAAAATTAAAATGTTAATAGTTTAGACTGACCTTTTTTACAATGTTGTCCAGAATAGCTTTGAAATATGTGAGCTCAAATGTTCACTTATACTGGAATCCTATTTCTGATGGTGTCCAAGAGTTAAAACATAGACTAGAGCAGAAAATAAGGTCACCCTTGTGGCTATGCTTTTCTACAATAATTTACAGCTCTCTAGCAGCTTTTGCCTTAGGGCAGAGACGTATTTAGACAGAATGATATCCTTGAATTTAGTAGCTCTCAATGGGTTTTTATTTTTATTAAATCTTCCAATCTTTTTCTGAAACTAAGTAATTTTACAGCACCATACAAAGGAACTGCACAGCCTAGGCATTTTTAAAGGAAAAATGTACCTCCTTTAGTTAGTTTAGAATCTGTCCTAGAATAATGTAATTTGATGCACTCTTGTTCTCTGTTATGGTAGTTATGGTGTGCACAGAATGGAGAAGGTAGACTCAAATTTTTGAAGAAATTGCTGCTAATTTTCTTCTCCCTTTTTACACTGTTTTGCATAGTTTCCATGTACTTGGCCTTTTCCTTCTTCTCATTGCTTTTGCAGCTGTAATGGACCCTGAAAACTGATTAAAGGCACTCCAAAGAGACATCAGAAGAATAAAAAAAAACAAAAAACAAAATGTCAGAATAATTTCCTACATACATCTAACTTGATATAGCCTAATTTTTTGTTAGCCTATTCTTTTAATATGCAGATGTGATACAGTGAAATACACAAGAAGTAGCAGGTTCGTTATAGGGCCAGTCTGACTTCTGCTCTTACAGTATAGTCAACTTCTTTCCCTAGAAAATTACTTAATAGTATTATTGATTTCTTTTCTCTTTCTAAGCTCAGCTTTGGAGGGATCCCAGTGCCTGGAAAATCAGGGACATTATCACGCAGGAACTTTCATGGGTGTTTTGAAAATATTTATTATAATGGAGTGAACATTATTGACCTGGCCAGGAGGCATAAATCTCAGATCTACATTGTGGTAAGAGATTTATAGTTAAGAAAGAATAAACAACTAAAAGAGAAAAAGATCACAACCACTTTCAAATTCAATCTGTTAGCACACATTTCTAGTAAAATCTACGTTAGGTAATGAAAGAAAAACTAAGTAATTACCAAGTTGGGCTATTTTTCATTTTATGCTGTATAGACTCACCCTAGTAGAAAAGGCAGGATGCATTTTATTCTTGAGGTCTTTAGCTGATACTTAGCTGTGTCTGATAGCAGTGTTGTGTGCTATCTAACTGGATGAAAAAAGTCAATGAGAAACAAGATGCATGAGAAACCATCAAATCATTGGCTTTGTACCAGAGTAATAAGAATATGTTCCTGGCTAATAACATCAGCAGTGCATTTTAAAAGTTCTCCATTGCTGAGGACACTGATCCACTTTGCTTTGTCCAGAATATTATAATTTTGATAGATAAGTTCTGTTTTTATACTGACCTTTGTCTGAAGACCTGTAGTTTAGGTTGGTAGTTTTAATGCATTTATTGTGACATGGACAACAGTCATTTACCCAAATTTCTACCTTTTATAGAAACAGTTCCAATAACAAAAAAATGTCTCTGTGTTACAAAAGGCTTTCTAGAAATTTTACTAAGTCCTTTCCTGTTGGTTTTGAGGTTTCTTTTCCCCTAGTACAAGGGTCATCTCTGTTTGCAACATGACAAAACTTATTTAGTAGCAGGAAATGCAAAAGCATGATAGAAATCAGCTCAGAATAATTAAAAAAACATTAAATGCTTTCATGATCCAAATATTTTAACTTGGATTTCCGTTCAGAATATGAAGAATCAAATTTGGTTCTCTGTCATAGATGAAATGGACGAGAGGCATCTCTTCTCATGTGAAATTCACCTGAAATATTCCAAAATTAACTAAGCTGGTACCTCTGCATATTATTCTCTCCATGATGCTTGTGAATACTGGGGTATGGGCAGTTATAGTAGGCTCTGGGTGGACTAGTGGAAAGGGATCTATGAAATTATCTGCAATAGGAAATTTAATTATTTTCATGTCAAATGTTTTAAATTGTTGTGCTAGTTTCAAAACTATTTAGGTGATGTTTCATAATGTAAATACTATAGAAAGAACCTCTGTTACCAAAGAATCCCTGTTAAATAGGCACTTTACTGGTGGCATCTGCAAATGGCCAGCTTTTAGGATTTAACCAGGTTTATTATTCTGATGAATACCTTTTTACTATGTGTCAGTTTAGCTGACTATTCATTTCAATACAGCTGAGTTCATAAGACAAAGCTTTTACTTATTTATATATTTTCCTTGAAGAAAATGAAAACCCATAAACTTTAATATTTTGCCACACCAGGGACTAGTAAGTATTTTTTTTAAAATTAATTTTAAAATACTTAGTGTGTGGTCAAATTTTACGTATGCTCAAAAGTTCAGTACAAAAAATCAGTACAAGTACAGATGCAGGTTACTCTCAGAGTTTCTCAATGAATTCAGCCACAAGTTTGCCTAAGAAACAGTTATTTCAGAGGAAGGTAAGCACAAAATAAATGCTAGGTGCATAAATCCAACTCATCATCTAGTTGATATGGGCCTGCTTGAAAACATATTCCCTCTTAATTTAAGAAGTATGTGTTGTGCATTTTTAAGTAGCAAGGGTTTATATGTGGAATTTTTCTGTTTATGAAAACAAATACTGGAGTTGGTGAACATCTCCAATTGCATTAATTTGGAAATTGTTTTTTTCTTAAATTTAACACCATCTTAAGCAATGAGTGCCAGCTCATTTTTCTCTCCATCCAGGCATTTAGACCTACGTAAGCATTTACATGCAGTCAGTGGCATGGCATTTATTTGTCACTGAAGAATTTGTCAAGTCCCTAATGCTTATTGAGACTGAGCCAAACTAGGAACAAAGCAGGTCTTTCTAACTCCTGAAGTAGCATTAAATCAGCCTCCTAATTTAGGATCTTACGTCATTCCCTCAAAGGTCCTTGCCACTCTTTGTGCAGGCAGATGAATCTATTCTGGTCAGACAACTATGTTAACATTTCTCAAATTGGTGATGTTCGTGTTTGATTTTTAGACTAATACATTCAAGTACTGTGCACCATGTTTTGAAACTCTGCAGTTTCCATGGAGAAGTTCTCATGCATGTTCCTAATGCCATATTTGTTTTATTTCTTTCTAGGGCAATATGTCTTTCTCGTGTTTAGAGCCACAGGTGGTTCCTGTTACATTTCTGAGCTCCAGCAGTTTTCTGGCACTGCCAGGCACATCAGAGCAAGATGAAGTATTTGTCAGTTTTCAGTTTCGCACTTGGAACAAGGAAGGACTTCTATTATCCAGTAAACTGCACCAGTCTTCAGGTGGATTCCTCTTATATTTGAGTGATGGCAGAGTCAAAATCAATCTTCATAAAACAGGAAGAGTAATGAGTGACATTGCTGCAGGTAACAAAAATGAAGAAAAAAATTCCAAGGTTTCTCTGCATGAAAGAAAAAAAAAAATTAAATCTTATTTACTTAGTACTTGCTTTCTTGACTTATTTTTATGATTAGTTTGTGTGCAGCTGTGCTTTACTTGTGGGAATTTTACACCCAATTATTTCTAAATGCTTTCTTTTTCCACAAACATACCTATTCTTTTTTTCCTCGTGAGTGAGCAGAAATTACTTGCAGTAATATAGACTGAAAAATTGAGTCCTTAGCTTAACATGCATACAATATGTACAGCTCATGAGTATAACCTGGGAAATCTAAGCAGCTTTTTCACTTGTGAAGTGTAAGAAATTTAGTCTCTTACTGTGTCAAGCTAAGCCATTAAGATGTTTTTCACCATTTGTCAGTACTTTCAAAAGGTATTAAGAAACTAATTTTTTTTAAAGTTGTGCATCACTATAAATATGGCATCTATTATTTTCTAGAGTTTTCAATTGCAGAGATGTCCATTAAACAGGGACAGTGGATGTCCAATACCAGACTGTATTTCAGAAAACTGGGGCAAGTTTGAGTCTATGGTAAAGATTAAAAAAAAAAAGGGACTTGAGGAAAATGAATACCTGAGAGCTAAAGGGTCACTTTTGTATTTAAGTACTGAATTAAGACTAGATCATCTAGTTTTGGTAGTGCACTGCTAGGCATCCCACAGGGTAAAACAGATTTTCAGAATGTTAGTACCTTCTAGTCCTCTAATGAGTAATTTTACCCCTGGCAAACGAATATGTCAAGACAAAAGGATGAAGCAACTATAGTGATACACAGTCATGTTAGAGAGTACTCAGTTGGGATTCTAAGTAGATTCCAATTTTAACTTTCTCTCTGCCTGGCAGGAATGGGACTCTTTCACAAAGAGTCTCCTCAGTTTTCCTGACTGCTCTTGGCACTTGATGTGAGAACAAGACTATTGTCCCAGTCAGGAATCTCCATCTTTCAGGAAATATGAGACCGGGACAGAAAAACATCATCTCCACCTTTGAAGACTTTTTATAAAATGCTGAGATCCTGTAACATCCCATATAATAATATCATCACCATCACCTAGCAGCACTTCATCAGTATTGTAGTATTCTCTGGCAGTTCATGTATCACAGCTACCTAGAGCTTCTCATTATTTATGCAAACAAATTAAATTCTGCCCTTGTAGATGGATTATATGATGTGATATGATATGCTGAGTTCCAAGACAGGAAAAACTGCACGATAGAGATTAGGTGGATAAAAGGGGTTACAAGGAATATATGAGTATGAGGAAATTGAGGCTGGGGTTGGAGTGGTGTCTGTATGGATAAAGATGACCAGAGTCCAATAACTGGAAGAATATATTGTAGAAGCAATGGTGAATTTGGATGCAAAAACTCATTTATGATATCCAAAACATCACTTGATCTTTGATTTATTTCAACCCATACACAAGCATATATTTTCCATTTCATATTCACAAAGCAGAATATTATCAGTATAAAAGAAGCCAAGTTAGTTCCAGGTATGTAATGATAAACAAGTGAGAAATCCCCAAACTACTTATAATCAGTATAAAGACAAAATAAGAATGAACTGATCTAAATTGTTCTCAAAATTTATTAGGCAGCATAAGGCAGACAGGGTGAGCAAAGCAGAACCAAGAAGGACAAAGAAACAACCACAGGATTTGAGTATGAGGTCTCCTTAATCATCATCCTATGCTCCTGTTTCTTTTATATTGATTCTTGATTTTATTGGCTCTTAATAAATGAAAATGTCCTTGTAGGGTAAAGGAGGAGGGGAAGGTGTGGGAAGGAAAGGGGAAGGGGAAGGGGAAGGTGCGGGAAGGTGCGGGAAGGGAAGGTGCGGGAAGGTGCGGGAAGGGAAGGTGCGGGAAGGGAAGGGAAGGTGCGGGAAGGGAAGGGAAGGTGCGGGAAGGGAAGG